CTCAATGATTCACACTAATGGAGAAAAGGAGAATACAAACCTCAATCATTTAAGTCTAGTATTTGGTTTTTAGGCTTTAAATGTGAATTTGACATTCTAGTTATAAACATACTAGACCTACAGTATAAAATATCCATCCAACTTCTAATTTAGCTTAAGCTTCTAGTGTATAGCAATGAAGCAGCTCATTCAGGCCTGTATTTATATATCTAGTGCATTTGTATTAAATTACAGAACATAGGCATTGAGAAAATGCCAAATGTAAACTCCAGAGCACTACTACAGGGTCATGGACTCTAAGGTATTCTGGAAGAGAAGGCATCCACTTCCTTTGCAACACTCAGTGGTGACCAATCAGCATGCTGCACAACAGGCTGCAGCATTTCTAACAAACATCACAAATAATTTACATCTCCATGAGCTCTCTATTTCTGATGCACTTTCCCATGTGTTGTCACAGCAATCCTCTATGCTAGAAGGAAAAGGTAATAGTCTCAATTTTATTGATGGAGAAACAAGAATAGATAATTTATTGGCCCCAAATCATTCAGCAAACAGTGCAACCACCTGGTTAGGTACATCCTCTTCAGCTCGAACTCTTCCCCCTTACCTGCATTCATTCAACATATATTTGCTGCATGCCAGGCAACGTGCTGGGTGAGAGGAAGGCAGAGGTGAAAACACTAACACTAATAATAGGAGGAAGAAACGGCAGAAAAACAAGCTGGTCTTTGAAATTTCAGACACCCAGAGTACTGAAAGAAGCAAATTTGTCAATTTTGAGAATGGGGCATGGAAAAAAAACGGAAAAAGACAGATTGGATGAAAGATAAGTATGATCTGAGACCACCACCCAGAGCTTTCCTGGAAGCAGGGACAATGCTCAGGTCCACCCCACTACTGTGTTACCAACACAGAATCCATTTCATATCCAAGACATATCAAGCTTCTTTTTAAATGATGAGAAGGACGTAGTTACTTTTACTCTTTAAATTTTACCTAGCAGACCTTTTAGAATTCAAATTAGATGTAAGTGTTCTTGGTATCAAGAAGTGATTAGGGCCGGCCCCGTGGCTTAGCGGTTAAGTGCGCTCCGCTGCTGGCGGCCCGGGTTCGGATCCCGGGCCAGCACCGACACACCGCTTCTCCGGCCATGCTGAGGCCGCGTCCCACATACAGCAACTAGAATGGATGTGCAACTACGACATACAACTATCTACTGGGGCCTTGGGGGAAAAATAAATAAATAAAATCTTTAAAAAAAAAAAAAAGTGATTAAATACAAGAATGATCTTAAACATAAAAACTCCTGTCTTCTGCACAATTCTGACAAGCTATTGAACATATCTGTGTTACCCTGCTGTTTCTGTCTCTGCGTGACACCTTTAGTTCTCTCCTCTATTAAGTTACAAGTAGTTGTCAGCCAGATGGACAGACTGAGAAAGCTTAGGGTAACTTAATCCTGTGTTTATACATTCATTTAGTGGCATCTCCAAAACCAGTCACAAATAAAACATCCACAATCCTTCAATAACAAATGTAATATCCACAATCTTACAATAATGGTTTGCTTTCTTTTTTTAGCCAGATTTCCACTATGAGTACCAGTGCAAATCCCAGGATACTAGCGCGGATAGTACTGCAGGAATTAACTACATTTTATGAACTACAACCAGAAGTATGTAGCAACTATTAAATTCTACTTTAAATTCTTATGAAAAGCAAATCTGCAGCAATATGATTTTGTTGTAGTTGTTTCCCAAACTTGCCTGATCATAATTACCTTGAATGCTTGTTAAAAATAGAAATTTCTGGGCCAGCCCCAGTGACCTAGTGGTCAAGTTCGGCATGCTCCACTTTGGGCATCCCGAGTTCGGTTCCCAGGCCCAGACCTACCCCACTCGTCTCTCAGTGGCCATGCTGTGGTGGCAGCTCACATACAAAAAGAGGAAGACTGGCACCAGATGTTAGCTCAAGGCAAACCTTCCTCAGCAAAAAAAATTTCTAGCACCCACCTCAGACATACTAATTTAGAATATCATATCTATATTGTATTCCTTAACCCCATAGAACCATAACAGAAACATAATTTAACATGTTTTAATTAAATTATTTCAGGAAGCTCTTTGTTTTTAGACCATTTCTTCAATCTAAAATAAAATTCTAATGCAGTAAGATTTGTTAAATACTCCAGTAATATGGTGTAGAACAGATCTATAATCCTAGTTTAAAAGAGAAAAATAAAAATCCACCGATAACTCAGTCACAAATCAAAACTCTGGAATTTTAAACATTAGCAAAGTTTTTTGGTTACCAGATCTCTAGTCTCAAGACTCCCTGGTGGTTTGGGCAGGTAATTTTTCTAAAGGTCCACAAATTAACGTGAAGTCTTAATAACTGTATTTTTTAATCCATGCTTTCTTAGCTCCTATAGAATTCCAGGACTTTCTCCAAAATGAAAGAAGTAAAATTAAATAATCCTAACAAAAATTGTGAAATTGAAAAAATTCACCCCATCCAGCTGAGAAATGCAACTGAGGAAGGTGTCATTTTTAAAACTCAGCAGACACTAAGTATTCTAGTGTAGACTATCCCTTTCCAACTGAAACATGCCTAACTGAAACATTCTAGTTTGATCTTGTGTTAACAGCTGCCCAAAACTGTTTTCACTCAGCACGTGGCACTCAAAGATAATGTACTTACAGAGGAATGCCTCCCTCTCACTCTCTCCCCACAAACACATAAACAGTCTGATTTTCACAATAAGTTAATTAGGCTTCCCATAAACATGTAGATAGCTCATGTAAAAGGGAGATATAAAATGCAGTTACTCTGTTCCACTTCTAGGGATATGCCAGAGAGAAATGAAAGCACACATCTACACAAAAACTGGCACATGAATGGTCACAGAAGCATTATATATAACAACCAAACAGTGGAAGTAACTGCCCATCAATCAACGCAGAAAATGTAGTATATCCACACAATGGAATAGTATGTGGCCATAAAAAGGAATGATATACTGATACATGCTACATGTATGAACCCTGAAAACATTATGCCAAGTAAAAGAAGCCAGTCACAAAAAACCACATATTATATAATTCCACTTATATGAAATGTCCAGAATTGGCTACTCTATAGAGACAGAAAGTAAAACAGTGGTTGCCTAGGTAGGAGAGATGGAGGAGAGTGGGAATCAAGAATGACTGCTAATGGGTACAGGTTTCTTTTTGGGGTGATAAAAGTTGTGATGATGGTTGCACACTCTGTGAATACACTAAAAACCACTGAATTTTGCAATTGGTGAGTTGTATGGTATTAATTATATCTCAATAAAGCTATTAAAAAATCTGAAAACAGCCCCCTTCTTTCAACTCTGTAATATATGTTAAGAACTCTTGGTGACCATTTATTTGGAATAAGACATGAATCAAAATCATGTTTGAAAAACAATAAAAAGCAGGATGACAGTACCAAGTGATTGTTTAAAATTTCTGTATGTCTAAGATATTTCACAACAGAAATATATTTTTAAAACAATGATTACTATTGTTGCAAATCACTTGTCCCAAAAGCTTATAAGATATACAGGAGTATATATCTTAGGTATAAGATATTTAGTAAATACTGATTAACTATTGTGCTAGTGAGCACATCTTTTCTTTACAAAACTGGTGGGACTCAACCTTACATATCCTTCAACTGAATTCAACTATTGGGGTACAGTCCTCCATAAAAAAACGAATCATTTGGAAAAAAATACCAAAAATAGCATTTGACCAAAGTAAAAGGATTTTCAAAATCCTTCGTGGCCTATTATCAAATAAAGAATATTTCATAATGGTTTAAATATTTTCATTTTCCAGGTGCAAATGTGCAGTGTACATTTATCCAACTGTGTACATGAGATATAAACAGTTCACTACCTACACAAACATTTGCTTAATTTTCTGGAAGATAAAAAAAAAGAAGGTACTAGAAGGGTGTGGCAACTCATCCAAGGTCACACAACAAGTCAGGGCAGAGATCAAAATTCTGGTTCACACCAAACCTCCAGGGGAAATCTTACTGACAATTTCGCAAAAAGACTTGTTTGTTTTGCTTTACATCATAAAGAAAAGGGGCGGGGGGCACTCTGACTTTAGTTTAAAACTCCTAAAAAGACAGTCAGGTGGCTATTCTGGATAAACAAACACTAGCGCCGGGGGTGGTTAAGAACTAAACAAAGCTATCAGTCAGGAGCCTGTGAACAGGCCAGATCTGTCCGATTTTCAACCTAGGTTAAAGCCTTAACTCACAAAGTCTGGGAGTTTTCCTTCATAGTCGGTTATGAAGGAAAGACACTTGGCACCTCCTTGGAATGCTAAGAGGATAAGAGTCAAAAGAGGAAACGACTTAGTGTGAACCGTAGTGCCTCCAAGGGTAAGAAGGCAGGTTTTTCCAGGGAAAAAAATAATAATAATAATGGGTATCAGAACAGCAGTGAATAAAGAATAAAAAATTTCTAACACTGTGAGAAGAAACGACTAGGACTGGCAGAGCTCATCTACAATCACTCTAAACGAATCACAAGAAAACCTTTTCCTCGATCAAAAAGAAGTCCACGTTCCCCCACCTTGTCCTAAAAATGGACGGGGTGTTCACGTGAAGGTATCTGGGGGGAAGAACAGCGGTGCAGGGCAAGGGCCCAGCCGCTACTCCTCTGGCAGCTCCCTCGGGAAGCCCGCTCAGCAAACCCCCGCGAGGGGACCACCCGAGACAGGTCCGGTGATGAAAGGACCCCGTAAGCTTCGAGAACCCTCGGGCGGAGGAGCGCGGGTACACATACACTCTCACTCGCTCACAGTCACACACTCACTCACGCGTCGTCGGAACCCCCGGGGAGCTGGTGGTTCTGCACAGACTCTGGACACCGTCCTACCCAGTGAAAATGGCCTGAGGAGCTGGGTGAGGAACCCAGCTCTGCCTGCCCGGAACCCCGCTCCCCTCACCTGGCCCTGGCCCCTGCCCCAGAAGAGATGAAAGACGCGGCGGCGGCGGCGGCAGTTGTTTCCGACAGGGTCCCCCAGCGGCGGTCGCTGCTCCGACCCGCGGCCCTAATCTACCGCCGCCGCCATGTTGGAGGGTGAGGTCACCCCCGGCGTGCTTCCGTCACCGCCGGCGTCCGGGGGCGCCGAGGAGCGCCGGAAGGGGGCGGCTCTGTTCTCCCGAGCGGAAGCATGAGCCATAGAGGCCTGGAGGGCTCTTCGCGCAGACGTGACCCGGAAGAGCGGACCTGTCCTAGCCCGCTCTTCCCAGGAGTCGCTCAAGTCTGTGGTGCCTGCGGTGGCGGAGGCCTTTGGCGGTTGGAGAAAGGGAGGTGGGATGGTGACCTGTGAGTCGTTGTGCGGGGAGAGAGGCTGGCCGTTCCCGCGGGAAGGAGCGCTGTTGCATCCACAGAACACGTTCTGTGGCTGTATTGAGCAGACCAGTATTGAGCTTAAGTGTGCGCAAGCAAGCGGTTAGATAAGTGTCAGGAGTCCCGAGAGCTGCCGAGTTCGCAGCCACTTGTGGGGAAGATGGTCCTTGGAAATTGGGAAGGATTTCCGGGGGGTGGGGGCGGGGTGGGGTTAGAGAGGTTCTTCCTGGTGGAGGGCCCTGCGCTATGGCGGTAAAGGGGCTCTTCAGTCATAGCGTTTTGTTCACAGCACTTAGCACAGTGCCTGGACGAGAACGTGTGTCCGTGGATGTTTGTTCACGTGAACCCAAGCGTTCTTCGGGGGAGTCACTGAAGGTACCTAGTCCAGAGGGTACAGTATCTAAACCATGCTTTAGGAGGATCAAATTCCCTTTCCAACATGAGATAAATTGGAAGAAGGAGAGCGTTGAAGATGAGGAGTTAGAAGGCTGTTGTTAAGGAGCCAGGTCAGAAGTGATTTATCACTTCTGATGAGGAGTGACTGCTGGTGGGTACAGGGTTTCTTTTGGGGGTGATGAAAACGTTCTCAAATGGATTGTGGTGACGGTTAGCACAACTCTATTAATATACTTGAAACCATTTAATTGTACACTTTAAATAGTTGAATGGTGTGGTATGTAAGTTATATCTCAATGAAACTGAAAAAAGAAGTGATAAAAACATGAACCTGATATAAGGTTGGGTGGTGGAATGGAAAAGAAGATTGGAGCTGGTGTCATAAGAGGCTTTAAGCTTAAGTGACTGAGAAAACGGTCTTGCCATTATTAGAGAAATTGGACCAAGATTTGCCAAGAAAAGGCTTAGTGAGCTAACAAACTCCCTAATAGTACCTAATAACCAGTCCATAATTAAATTTCCCCAATTGTCCAAGTAATGGCTTTTATAGTTTTTTTAAAAAATCAGGATCATGCAATACATTCGGTTGCTACCTCTTTTATTAGTCTCCTACTCTTATTTTTAATAACCTTTGGGCCGGCCCGTGGCTTAGCGGTTAAGTGTGTGCGCTCCGCTACTGGCGGCCGGGATTTGGATCCCGGCGCGCACACCAACGCACTGCTTCTCTAGCCATGCTGAGGCTGCGTCCCACATACAGCAACTAGAAGGATGTGCAGCTATGACATACAACTATCTACTGGAGCTTTGGGGGAAAAATAAAAAAATAAAAATAATCTTGACTTTTTGAAGTATATTCATACAATGGAAATTACTCAGTAATAAGACAAAAATGAACCATTGATAAATGTTTGCTTTTTTTCCCTTTTTTATTTTATTTTTCAAATGTATGCCATAAGGATAGCATATAGGTCAATGGAACAGAACAGAAAGTCCAGAATGGTCAATTGATTTTCGACAGAGGTGTCAAGGCTATTCAATGGGGAAAGGGATAGTCAAGTGGTGTAAAATACTATAGTCTTGTTACAGAAATTACTTGACTTTAATCACAGTAGTTTGTGCGTTTTTTGGTTTTTTTGACCGATCTTATGAGTGATGCAGAGTTTTAGCTTGCAGCTTGATGTGGTTATAAAATCTAAACTCTAGACTGTACTCATTCATTCTCATTTATCAATTATTTGTTGAACACCTACTATGTACCATGCAGTGTGCTGGGTGCTGGCAAAAACAATGGTGAGTAGGTCAGACATCGTCCCTGTTGTGAAGCTGACATTTTCATTGGAAAGCCAGACAAAAGCCTAGAAACGAAAAGAGAAAAAAATTTAAAATTGTGGTATGTCCTGAAGTAAACAAACCAGGGGCTGGAATAGAAAATAAGGTAAAAGGGTGTTCATGAAGAGCTCTCTTGGAGGAGATATTTTAACTTGAGACCTAAAGAATGAAGAACAAGCTAAAGGGTAGGTGGAGGAAAAGAACTTCTGAGGCAAAAAAACTTGGTGTTCTCCAGGAACTGAAAAGATACCAGTAAAGCTTTGAGGTGGGGAGCCAAGGGAAGAGGAGTGATGGGGTCAGACAAGCAGGGGCCAGGTCCAGCAGCGCTCAGACCCGGTGGAAGGTGTTCAGAAGGGGATAGAAGCCATGAGAGGATTATAAATTGGGAAGTGACTAGATGCCATCAAGGCTTTAAATCACTCTTGCTGCTGTGTGGAAGATGGGTTGGAAAGGGGCAAAAAGTGCAGGCACTAGAGTTTCACTACTCTCTGTTACCATTTGTTTTTTCTTTTTAAAATTAAATTCTCAACATTCAAAGACAGATTATTTACACTTACCTCCAGTCTCTCTTTTTGTGTACCCCCCAGCAAAAAACTCAAGAGTTAGATTATCTATTCTGCTGACTCAATGGCTAATTAAACTGCAGACTGAAGCCTCAGCTTTGGAGCAGGTGAGACAGTGAGCATACAGACCGTCTCTTTGTGACTAACCTGGCAGGAATCTAGGTCAGTGATTTTGGTGAAGCCATAAGTAAATAGGCTTATCTAGGCGTGGGATTTTTGGAGTTTACCTGAAAAGCTGTTTTTTTTTTTCTTTTTTTTTGTGAGGAAGATCAGCCCTGAGCTAACATCCGTGCTAATTCTCCTCTTTTTGCTGAGGAAGACTGGCTCTGAGCTAACATCTATTGCCAATCCTCCTCCTTTTTTTTCCCCAAAGCCGCACTAGATAGTTGTATGTCATAGTTGCACATCCTTCTAGTTGCTGTATGTGGGACGTGGCCTCAGCATGGCTGGAGAAGCGGTGCGTTGGTGCGCACCCGGGATCCGAACCCTGGGCCGCCATTAGCGGAGTGTGCGCACTTAACCGCTAAGCCATGGGGCCGGCCCTGAAAAGCTGTTTTAATAAAGCTTCTTCACAAGACCTAGCTAGTATAGGAGGAAATTGGATTTGGAAAACTACCAACTAGTTAATGTTTGCGTGTACTTATAATAACTTTTTCACTCCAAAGACTGTCTCTGTGAAGCTTACCACATTCCTATCAGACAGGACCTGGCCTGTTCCCTGATGAATCAACAAAATACTGCAGAAACTAGTTGTAAAGAGCATGAACACTGGGGAGGAGAGAGCTGCACAAAAGGGGATGTGAACTATATCTGTAACACTATTTCTTTTATTTTAAAAATGAAGTCTTAAGGCAAATGTGACAAATATTAATTGTCATTTCTGGGTAGTGGTACATGGTGCATGAATGTTTGAATTATTCTTTGTACTTTTTTAAATTTTTTAATGTCTCAAAATAATAATAAATAAATCATAAAGATCAGCACACTGCTTTCCAAAAAACAAAAGCACGTTGATCTGGACAGGACTACATCTATTCCAAACATTAATTCATAAACTATTGGACATGGGGCATTGGATTGCCAGTCCCACTCCCCAACCCCTGTTATTTGCAGAACATTGTAAAAATAAATGGGAGGAGGCATTGTAATCCAGAGAAGTGAATACCACCGTATCCTAACCTAGGGATGCTAGAGGGTGGCGTAATCCTGGAAATCTGTCTTCTGGGATGGTGAAGAATGAAGTTACTAATGCAAAAACTAACAAGAGAGAAACAAGCCTATCATCTGGTTTAGCCCAGTTGATTAGAATACTGATCAAGTTCAAGTCAACCTCGTTGTCCTTTGTCCTATTAGTTTTATTGTCTTGTGGCTGAATCCTTCCCTTATCCAACGTTACCAGTTTTCTCAAATATGTGTACCAATCTGTCGTACACTACAAAGAGTATTATACACTAGTACAGCTGGAAAACAATTTGGCAGCCCTAAAAATGTGGCACCATTCCCATGAAAAGAACAAAGTGACATGTGCTTTCTGATGTGAGGCACTGAGGACACAGTGTCACTCATGTAGCACTCCTCCCATAACGCATAACCGGAGTCTAACTATGAGGAAACTATCAAACAAAACCAAATGGAGAGACTTTCTACAACTGGCCTCTTCAAATGTCTGGTACTCTTCAAAAACATAACTATCAGGAAAGACGAAGTCTCAGGAACCGTTCCATATTAAAGGAGACTAAAAAAGACATGATAATACAACAGGATCTTGGACTGGATCCTAGATGAGAAAAAAAAATTGCTACAAGGGATAGTGGGACATATGGCAAAATTTGAATACGGACTTGTTAGATTTCCTGAATTTGATCCATCTACACTCTTGTTCTTATGAAACATGCTGAACTATTTATAGTCATTAATAATATATATATGGAAAGATATAGCAAATATAGCTAAATGTTAACAATTGTGAAGGGAGTTCATTGTACTATTCTTACAATTTATTATAGTTGAAATTTCTTCAAAATAAAAAGCTAATAGTAAAAATGTGTGTACCCTTTGACCCATACTTCTACTAGGAGTCTATCCTAAACATAAAGAAGTTTTCAAAAGTTTTTGCCTTTATAGTTGGAGAAAGAAATTGGGGCTTGAAGCAAACAAGTCTGGGGGAATTTCTGCCCTAATTTTCCAAAGAATTCCCTCTAAGTGGGTCCTGGGAATGATGTTGAAAAATGGAAAAGCTCATTCAGAAGAATTCTTTTTTTTTTTTTTTTTTGGTGAGGAAGATTGGCCCTGAGCTAACATCTGTTGCCAATCTTCCTCTGTCTTATATATGGAACGCCACCACAGCATGGCTTGATGAGTGGTGTGTAGGTCCACACCCGGGATCTGAACCTGCAAACTCTTCCCAAGAGGAGCACGTGAACTTAACCACTATGCCACCAGGCGGTTTTGTAGGTACTCCACCCTA